TGTACGGTCGAAAATTTAAATTGGTCACAGATCACCGACCATTAACTTGGCTTTTTTCTTGCCATGATACCGGTAGTAGGTTAGCAAGATAGCGCCTCAAGCTAGAGGAACACGACTATGAAATAGTCTACAAGCCAGGCAAAGCCAACAAGAATGCCGATGCCCTATCCCGCATTAAACTACCTACGAATGTTAACGCCCTTAACCCGAGTTATGAAGAAGGTTCCCCTTCTACTCAATTTCTCGAAAATGAATTTGATTTATTTGCCCGCCTTTATAAAACCACCTCTTTAATAGACTATTCCAAAATTCTATTTTCTAACTCCCAACTTATAGACAAAATCCACAAACACATAGTCACATTCTTCAGACAAAACACCCTTTCTGATCTTCATGAAAAAATCATCGAAGACATATTCGAAACCAATCTCGAATTTTCTGCAGACACAATTAACATCGCTTCTAGTCAGACTGTCAAAGATAGCAAATATTATATAATTCCCGTGCCGTGCGATCCTGCGGCTTGCGTACAACATCTGTTCACCCTTATTTTAAACAACAAAGGCATATTCGATTTGCCCCAACAAATCTACGTCGAAAATAACCTAGATCTGCCCATCCAAGAAATATTCTCTTTCATATTTTCCGACGAAAATATCAAAATTGTCATTTGTCAGAATGTAACTGAAATTCCAAGCCCTGATGAAATTCCAATCATTTTAGACCAATACCATTGTTGTAAGAAAAATATCCACAGAGGAATTAACGAATCTATCAGACGTATCCGTGAACGATACAATTGGCCCGGTTTGACTAAAGATGTCGAACATTTCATCAAGAAATGTGAAATTTGTCAGAAAACTAAAATCTGCCGAAAAAACCTCAGTACCCCTTTGGTTGTTACAGAAACTCCAAAAGCTCCATATGAAAGCATCAATATTGACATTCTAGAAGTCCCGCCTCAGAGCTATGCTCTTACAATCCGAGATGAACTTACAAAATGTTCGCAACCCTATCCTATTAACGACAAGTCTGCTAAATCTGTCGTGAATATACTTCTGTTCTATTTCCAACATTACGGTACACCCCTTCGAATACATTGCGACTATGGCAAAGAATTCGACAATGCTCTTATGAAAGACCTCTGTAGTCTTTATGATATCAAAATGACATTCTCTAGCGTCAGTCACCCCCAGTCGAATGGATCGATCGAACGATTCCATGCCACTTTATTGGAAATGATTAGAACGCACGTGAAAATCCGAACGAACACCCCTTTAATATCCAACCCTATGCTGTCCTATGCACACGGAACAAAACCACAGGCTTTACTCCCTACGAACTTGTCTTCGGACTTACATCTGGTCGTCCCCCAGAACACGTCTACCTTGAAAGGAATTAATGTCTAAATACCTTCGAGATATTCGGAATAAGCTCGAATATTATTATAAAGTAGCCCGTGCCAGAACGGACGAACAAAAGCAAAAGGCGTTTCGATAACAGAGTATCACCGAACCTCCAAACGTACAAAATTGGTAACAAAGTCTTTGTCAAACAATCCCAAATTTCCAATAAGCTTCAAAATAAATTCGATTGACCATATGAGGTCATTCAAGTATTTGAAAATTCAGCATTACTAAAAATCCGGAAACAAACAGAACAACTAAAGTCAATTTCGACAGACTGAAACCATGTTTTGAGACTTAGTTTCTCTTCCAGGTGCAGTCTGCTGTTTCTTGCGGCTGTTTGTACGGCCCAGATTGACATCAAACCCATTAACAACACATTAGGTATTTACTTCCACGAAGATGGCCGAAGATGGTCAAAATTTCTAACGAAGTTTGGACACTACTCGTTTACAAAGATCTTGAACTGATCAAAAAGGCGCTCGACGATAACAATAACATCCTGGAACACTTAACTGCTCTCGTAAATGAACCTACTAATCGCATGAAAGTATTCAGAAGCGAAATTAAGACACATATCTATCTATCTTCTCTACCAAATTTCTCGTTCCTTGAAAACCAAATATTACGAGATTTTCGACGATACAACTAGCGCATCGCGAATGAAACGCGGCCTAATTAATGTCATAGGTACAATTTGGAAAGCAATAGCAGGTAACCTCGATTCATCTGATGGTGAATATTATAACGACTGCATTAACAAAATTTCCAAAGACGAACATGAGCTTGAAAACCTTATGAAAAATCAGATCTCAGTAACCATGTCGGTTATTAAGGACTTCAATAATACTATTCAGAAACTGCAAATTGACGAAGCTACTTTTAACGAAGACATAAAGGTTATTCAAAATAGAATTTATGAAATTTCAGATGATCTTGCATTTTATGAAGCTAGATTTCAATTTTTGGAACTTTGCGAACAACTAATGGAAAGTTATATGTTTCTAGAAGAGACAATTAACGATATTCTCCATTCCATTACTTTTGCACCTTTGAAAATTATTCATCCTTCGATAATTACTCCTCAAGATTTAGTAAATTCTCTTCAAGAAATCTCTCATTCCTTATCAAAAAACAATTTACCTATGCCAGTCAATTTGGCAATAGTATCAGAATATCTCAATTTAATGGAACTTGAAGCATTTCAAACAAAAACAAAAGTAGTTTTCGTCCTACGCATCCCATTGTTAGAACCTGAAGTTTACACTTTATACAAGATGATTCCTCTACCCATTTCAGATGAACGTACAGGTCTATTTCATGTAATTTCTACCTTACAGAGCTACGTTGCCAAAAATAGCGATTCTCTTTTGTACGTCTCCTTTCAAATTTGGATAGTTGCAAAATTCTCCAATCACAGGTTAAGATCTGTTTTAACCTCTTACCGTATCCAACAGACAACAATGCAGTCTGCGAAGCACAATTGTTGCGAAATCCGGTCGATCTGCCAGCAACATGTCAAATAGCCATTGTGGCTCTGCAGGATTATAAAATCCAGCAATTAGCAACCAATTTTTGGTTGATTACCATATCTAGCCCGCTGCCCATCACAATGAAATGCGGACAACATGAAACAACTACAAAGGTGATCAAAGGTGATCACTTTTGAAAATGCAGCCAGAATGCAGTAGATTCATAGACACTACAAGGCTTCATGCCAGATATTCTGTTAACGCTTATAAGAATATCACTAATAAAAGCCACCCTGTAGAGATACCCTACGAATGCTGCAATCATCTCCCTAATAAACAAAATTTGCCGAACCTGAAACCGATCAAGCTAACCAAGATCGATACAGAAGAGCTAGAAATCGCCAACCACAAGTTGTACCAGTATTCTGAACAACTTGATAAACTTAATGAGCTTTTTGTTTCACGACATATCTCCTGGTTTACGTACGTCGTCATGACCCTGCTAGCCGTCATCTTAGCCCTCTACATCTTCTGCAAATGCAGAAAACGCCGACCACTCAGTATTTGTGCACCAAATTACCCTGGCTGATGGACCGTCAACAGGAACGTCGAAAGTCAGATACATCCCCAGGCTTTTTCCATGTCGAAGACCAACCATCCAACCCCACGAAGAAGAAATTGAACTACAGTAGTGTTCAGTGAGTGAAAAGTCCCAATTGTGAAAAATCAATTTTCCCTTTCATTTTAATGACATTTTTGTACGCCTTGCTTTTAAAGTTTTGTTTCAGCATTTACTTGTGAAGCATTGCAATCGCATTGCCTATATATCATATTTTATAATAACTTTTACACTTTTCTAATTTTGTCAAAGGTTGTCGCATGGCAACAACTTTTTGTAATAGGGGGTAGTTGTTATATACACTCATAACAATGGACTTACTATTCCATACAATGTTGCATCAGACGCTAGCTCAGCAACAGATAACGACTCGCTAACTCGTTGCTTATGCTTTGTTTCTAGAAGTGCCTTGTAAGCACACCAATAGTATAAATAGGCCTTGCGCCCATTTCATGTTATTCAATACCCGGCTAGGCACCCTAACAGTCGCTTATGTAAACTTCATGTTCAATTGTAAACGTTTGTAACGGACAGTAGTTACTGTCCTCAAATAAAATTTTTTTTTAAAGTAAAGTTGAATTTAAATGATATAATATATATATATATTAATATTTTATTTATTATGTTGTTTTAGAGAAAACTGTGTTTTAGTCACTGTTTTTGTTCATTTGTTATTTTTGATTATTTATTGTTTGTTTTTTCAGAAAATATTGTTTTATTTTATTTGTTGTTTCTGAGTATTTATTGTTTGTTATTATTTATTTACTCAGCAAATATACCTTTTTATTTTCATTGTCATAAAACTTTTTAGCTCTAACGTGAATGATTCACATGTTAATATATTTCAAATCACAGTCAATCACGATGTGGAGTATACACCTCTCAGGTGGCGAAATATGGCAACGCAGCGCTTTCAAAATTCGCATCCATTCCATCCTGTGATCGATAATAAATCTTTTGTGGTCTATTCTTCAAGGTCACTTGTTCTGTGTTGATATTTGCCGTCGAGGTATTGCTGGAAAATGGTATTTTGGGAAAACAGATATAAAGTGCCCAATCCAAGATTTTTTACAGCAGAATTACATATTACACTGCCGTGTACACGTTAAACCTGCAATAACCTTCTAAATACGTGGTTATATTAAGTGTCCATCACCCATTTACCGTCCTAGATTCCTAGAGCCAACAAAATATTTCTCTTTAATAAGTCTCCATAATATCCAAAGGACCTACACAGTCTGGAGGAAACTGTCAATATGGCAACGCTGTTACAAATATGAGATTTCAGGGAGGATTTTAGGACATGACCTGACGAGTGACGACATTTAGCGTCGCGTCAAGCATACTGGCATACTCAATCAAGATCTTTTCAAAGAGACAGCCAGAATAAGTTAATAAACAACAAAAATAAGTAATCCTATAGACATTAAAATTATGACATGGAAAACAAAAGGTTCTGCAAACGAAAAAAAAAACATCGAAAATATTTTACATGCTTCTCACCTGTTTTCCTCCGTAGAAAAGCTCTTGACAGCCATCAACTTCACATTCAACGTAAATTAATTCCCTCAATTCGAAAACGCTTGCAGCACCTGATATTTCTAAATGATGGTCTTCAGGCTCAGAATTTGTTAATTTTCTTACTGTTACACGCATAATGCAAATGTCTGAAGCAAAAATTGAAAACAAAGGCTCAGGCTTATTCAAACTTCAAAGCACACACTAGCTACAAACAGTACATCTACATCTACACTTCTACAATGTGGTCCAGTGTTGCCGGACCAAAAAAGACGAAATCGGTAAAAGGAGAAAATCAGGGCCGTCGCACGATCAGCAGTGGATCAAGGGCAAAAAAGCTTAAAAGCTTATGAAAACTTATAGGATGAATATCCCTGTAATCCGGACACTACAAATCTTGCATGTATTATTGCTAAAAAACATGAATATTTGAAATCCTATACTTACTGGTAATTGGTATCAGATTTATCAACTAATTTGTACCAGTTTACAAAAATTTCACATACTCAGTTGTCATCCCTGTATTGCGCGTCAAGAACAGCATTCATTCAATTCCTCAATTTTTGTCAGTTGTCTAGTCAGTGACATAAGCTTTAAAGGCAATAATTATAATAATAATAATTATTGGAATCGTCCGCTGACAATATATCAATGCTGCTCTTGTTACATATGCAAAATAGGTCACCAACTTGGCTCTAATTACTCAATACATTTCTGAAGTACTGGACGGTCAGGGACAAGTTGATGTCATCTACACAGATATTCAGAAGGCTTTTGATCAAGTTGATCATTATGCACTTCTGGATAAGCTTAAAACAGTGGGTATGTCTGATGCAATGCTGTCGCTCATGAATTCATATTTGAGGGATAGAAGGTTATTTGTCGAATATGGTGGTCATAGGTCGAGTTACTATCGGGCCACGTCTGGGTACCTCAAGGTTCAAATCTAGGTCCATTATTGTTTTTAATATTTATTAATGACTTGTCTTTTGAACTGAAGTGTTTCCATTTGTTTTTCGCTGATGACCTCAAAATCTGCACGTCAGTCAAGTCAGTCGAGGATTGCGTCATGTTTGCAAGATGACTTAGCTCTAATTTCGTCATGGTGTTTACGAAACTGTCTCAGTCTGAATGTTTCGAAATGTAAAGTTATGACTTATACAAGAAAAGTGAACTATTTAATTTATGATAATTATAACATCAATGGTCAGGTTATAGACAGATGCACCTCTTATAGAGACCTTGGAGTCATATTTGATACCAAGCTAACGTTTACTGAGCACATACTCAATATCTCGTCGGCTGCCACTCGACTACTTGGTTTCTGTATCAGAAACTGGAAGGGTTTCTCCAATGTTGATACATTAATAACTTTATTTTTTACTCTTGTCAGGAGCAAGTTGGAGTATGCAACTCTGATCTGGTCTCCTATATACCAAAATTCTGTCGTGATCCTTGAGGCCATTCAACGTAAAGCTGTAAAGTATTTTCACCTTAAATGCACAGGTTCTTATCCAGAAAGAGGTTGTGACCATAGTGCCCTATTAGAGTCTTTCAATTTGGATTCACTGTCAACAAGACGAAACATATTTGCTTTGTCGTTTTTGTATGGCCTCATTCACAACAAAATTGACTGTCAAAATTTACTTGAAAAAATATGTTTCCGCGTTCCAAGGCTAGGGAGTCGACAACAAATGGCATTCTATTGTCAAGCTGGCCGTACAAATGTTATGACAAAATCGCCAATTAATTTCATGTGCTGCGTCATGAACAGTGTTACTGAATCGTGTGATATTTACAGTGACAGTTGTGCAACGATTATTAACTGTTATAGATCATCCAATCTTATTTAGAATGTGTGATACTATAGATTTAAGTCCAAGAACCATGTCTCTTTAATTGCTATTTTTTCAGCGTTTCCTGTAATTGGGTTTCACCTGTTGGAAATAAATAAAATAAAATAAATAAATAAATAAAAATAAATCAAAAAGTTACGAAAAAAAAACACAATCTTGATATGTTGTTTTAATATTTTGGGGTCAAATGGGAGTGGTTGCTGACTGAATCATCATACTCAAAATCTAATAGTCGGACGACAAGAGTCGGACTACTGGAATGGCGTGGTTATTATCAATCTATCTTTTTCTATCAAACCATACATACTATCAAAATTATCTCTTGGCTTTAAACAAACCAATAAACGACTAAAGACCCAGTCAGTGGACGCCGTGGACGGACAGCAAAAGATAAAAAATAATGTAGATTATGGCAAGTGTACCGTGTCCCCACTACTGGAGTGAGCGAAATTCCATAGCTTCCCAATAACCGGCCACTCACATTTTATATGGATACCAGAATAAAAAATTCCATACCTATGTAAATATAGTGACGAAATATTGAAGGAGACAGTCGAAGCTGTGAGAAATGTTGGAAAATTGTTTCTTGTTCATTTTTATGTAGTTTGTATGTATTTTTGATACAAATATGTATATTAAAATCATTCAGTAATAGTGTGTAATAGTGAAAGTCTTAACGTTGTCGGCAAAAAGTTAACAACATATATGACCACCTCCAAAAACATTTAAGCTTAGTTATCTTGAACACAAAATTCGTAATTACACTTTCAATTCTATTTTTGTCTAAACTATCCGGACACTGGGCGCATTCACCGTACAATGAGCACACTGGCTGTTCTTCCAACTCCTTTGCAACCATCCTGGAAACTCGCTTTTTCATTCGTATTTATAAAATGCGAATATTTTTCTGTTTTGCGCCTAAACTTGAAACCTTATCACCTGACATTTTAGTTTAATTTGTAATTATTAAACTTTGGTTTCCGTATTGCTTGTCCTGTGATGGGGTAATGACGGTGATCTACCAGTCTGCATCCCTTGCACGCACAAAAACTAATACAGGGAATACAGAGTAAAAGATGTACGTACATAATTATAAGCAACCCATATCTGGATGCCTCGTGTGTCCGAGTGCCTAAGTGTACGCATCTGTATGATTGGTATGAGCAATAAAATTAAATAGACTGCGACATAGAATTAATTTCTTCAGCTTTATATTTGGTTCGAGCATTTTTTCAGTAATCAATCTGGAAATGCCTGATTATACAAAAAAATCGTAGTATATGAGAACGTTTTCGGTATTTCAGTAAATCAGGTTTCATTTCCGTAGAAATACTAACAAATCGGTAGGGCCGACAACGCTGGGTCCAAAAATCCGCCTGGAAAAAAATTGACGTTCTACCTTTGACGACGTTGCCACTTCTTGTTATTAAATAATCCATTGATACTACACAGATTTTCTGATAAAAAACTAAATGTAAGCAATAATTAGACAATCTACAGTCATAAAATGGAAAATTTCTTGCGAATGAATTATTCAGATAGTATTTTCCATTAAGAACAAGGACTAATGAAACCATAGAATGTAACATTTGCGACGATCTCGTCTGTCATTCCCCGATACGCTCCATTAGTGATGACGTCACAAAACGTCAAATGTTGAGCACTGTATCCAAAATAAATGAATGTACATTTGATTTGCATGGAGTGTTTTTATAAATATTGTTTTTCTGTTCTCTCAAGGGGAAAATAAGCTGTTATACTTTATTCTCTTCTCATATTACTTATTTAAAGTTAATAATTTTCTAGTAAATGTTGGTGTAATTGCGGGTTTATACAACAATTTAATAGTAGTAGTCGTAATCATAGACATACGCATAAAAGTTGAAATACATATGTCTTCTGAACGGGTTTATACAAATTATCGTACTAACACCCCAAAATATATTTATACACTCATACATAGAAGGACAACGCAATGCATTTTGACCGGCAACACGTCGCCGTCCTATTGCATTGTATACATGTCACGTCAGCTGTTAATATCAAGTGTCATGAGTGTCACTGTCACATGTAATAGTTGCTTACGAACTGGCGATTTTCTGACTGAGTTAAAGTTAGCTACTGACCTCAGCTAAGTTGTTGAACGTAAGCACGATTTCAAGAGGAACGTACCATACCTGTCAACTGTCGAAGAGCGAATAATAAGATAATCAGTGTATATGTTTTGTGATGTATTAGACGTGTTGGTTTGTGGTTGTAGTTTTTCACGAGTATCCATTACGGTACAATGACAACTGATCATCTAGTAATATTTCAAAATCCGCCATATCGGCAAAGGACACATAATTCTGACGAATCGGATTCGTCCGTCAATGCCAGGTAGACAGAGCCAAATTTTGTTTTGGTTTTTGTACGCTATAGATTCGTTTTGTTCTTGCTTTTTTATTTAGAAAATTTCATTTGCATACAAAAACAACTTTTACTAAATTTACACCCGATTCATTATTGCCAACATTGCAGACTAACACAAAAATGTCACTTGCTGATCAGCTGTTCACCTCAGTAGACGTCAAAGCGTGATGGATACTTGTGAAATAGGGTATACGGGAAATTAATTACAAACATTAAAGATCCTTAACTTCAATTTTGAACGGCAAACATTCAAAAACGTTGTGTTTGGCGCCAACTTACATCAGCTAAGATATCTCAGACGAAAATCCGAGTGTCTTAACAGCGGAAAGGGGGGAGGTAAGATTCTAACTAAGTTGTGTGATATCGTAAGTGTCGCTCAGTTAGTTTTATATAGGTTAGGTCAGAATGTGTGCTGTTCGGAAGCAACTAATGTTTCAACCCTATTTCACGAGTATCCATCACGCTTTGACGTCTACTGATGTGAACATCTGATCAGCAAGTGATATTTTTGCGTTAGTCTGCGACGTTGGCAATAATGAATCGGATGCAAATCTAGTAAAATTTGTTTGTAGCGTTTTGTGCTTTGTATGCAACTGAACTTTTCTAGATAAGAGAGCTATTAGCAAGTAGAAAATAAATCTGTAGCATACATAAACCAAAACAAAATACAGCTCTAACTACCTGACGTTGACGGATCTATCAGAATTATGTGTCCTGTGCTGCTATCAGCTGTGATTCTACCGTGATGAATACTCGTGAAATAGGGTATATTTACTTTCAATCTTTTTCCTTATTCTGGATGGCCGGATGGATTCGAAGGTCGGTTTCGTGTAAGCACACATTTTCTTATTTAAACTACATTTTTTGTTGAGTTGATGAACTTTGGAAACTGGAGTATCACACCTAACCTTCTTGTGAAATTTTATAAGAGAACAGCAATCAACAAACGGAGCATCCTAATCCCTTGCAAAAGGGTTTAATCATAGAGAAATTATATATTGGAAGGATGTATTTGTTAGAATATTACGGCTATTGAGGATTTCTACTCGATTCAACAGTCACCTATGTGTATTAGACTACCAACCCATGGTGTTCAGAGTTAGATAGAATATAGATTACTTGCTATTCTTTCTCTCCAGATCATATATCTCGACAATTGAGTGCTTCAGCACCACATGGCTAACGTGCTTCACAGTGATGGTAATTTTATGTCGAGTTGAGTGATTTTTGTAGAGCTTCTATTAACATTCTAATTCTGTAGTTGATATGAT